CCTCCCACGCTTACACAATGACCACATTCCAAAGCTGCAGAAAAATAGGTTTATCTATCAAGCCATAGCTGAAGTTTCTGAATCTGCATGGAATTATTTGGAGCTTCAGGTCTTTTGAAACTGAAATCCTGACTTCTCATGGCCACCAAATTGCCCAGCAAAACGGTTTATAACACATGAAGCAGGTCACGCTCGTGCCGGACACACGATGGCTAGTGCTCGTTACTGCTGCTCCTCTCCCAGACCTGCTGGTGCTTCAGCAGCCAGTGACAAACCTCTACATTGGTTGTAGATGTAAATTAAAGTAACAGTGCAGTCTTTTTAGTCACTGCGGACAAACTGTGGCAGAAATGCCACAGAAATGGGAAGTGTGGGAGTGATTATGCACGTTAACATCCTGCATGTGGCACATAACCTCCTGCAGCCCTGTAATTCTAACAAAGACATGAGAGAAGGACACAATGGTTTGGTCTACCTTGCTTTCTGTTCTGTTCGCCTAAGTAGATTTGAGTTAAAAAAAAGGCACGGTCTATAAATATATGCTTCACCTGTGTCATTAATAGTGTCTGATGACACTCATTGCATACGTATTATCAACACTCTTTTAAATACAAACCTACACAAAACTCAGCATCAAAACCCAGGCAGATTAGTTTTAGTGGCATTTCTCAGGCCGAGTGATCTCTCACCTGGAAATGCTAGAGCCACACAATGTTTAGGGCAGGCACTCTATTTGTACCCTCATTGTCCGTGTGCAGTGATATCCTCTGTCTGTGAATTGGAGCACAAGTCTTAGGAGGAGTGGCTGAGGGAGCTGGTGTTGTTTAGCCTGGAGAAAAGGAGACTCAGGGGAGACCTTATCACTGTCTACAACTATCTGAAATGATGTTGTAGCAAGGTGGATATCTGTCTCTTCTCTCAAGTAATAAGCAATAGGACAAGAGGAAATGGCTTCAAGTTGTGCTTGGATATTAGGAAAAATTTCTTCACCGAAAGGGTTGTCAAGCATTGGAGCAGGTTGCCCAGGGAAGTGGTTGCATCACCATCCCTGGAGGTATTTAAAAGATGTGTAGATGCAGCACTTAGGGACGCCGTTTAGTGGTGGACTTGGCCGTGTTAGGTTGACAGTTGGACTCAATGATCTTCACGTCTCTTCCAACCTAAACAATTCTACGATTCTATGACTCTCAAAAGAACACAAATTCACATTAACAAAGCTATTAAAAGGATACAGAAAATGTTTTGTAGAAAAAATATTTTAGCAATCATTTCTCAAATGTTTTTAATTTCAGATTTTTCTCAGGTCTCTGTTTTTAATATGTCAGCATTCTTCTGTTTTCCTCTGAAATTAGTTGATATTTCATTTGCATATGTCAACAGGCTTGCACTTTATTACTTAGAGGCCTAGATTCTTGCTGGCTCTCATTTACGACACTTTTTTGCAGGATGCCCATCACAGCAGCAGCTACTCATCCTCTATTCCAGCAAACAGCACAAGGCCACTGGATTCCCTGTTCCTCAATGTTGTGAACATTTTACTGTTTTGATGCTGGATGACATTTCAGCCTCTCCTTGGGCACCTAATGCTCCTGCTGCAGTCCAGTGAATTCTCCTACACAAAGGACGCGGGAACAGGTTCTCCTGGTGATGAAGATGTAACATGATAGCGTCTTGAAATGTCACAGCACCAGAGAGCACTGTGAGGTACCTTGTGCATGCCCATAGTATGTTTGTGGCTTTGCTGAGAATGATGAATAACATGTGAGCGGTATTTTGCCTTATACAGAAAAGTACAGTAGGCAACGGCGAGACAGAAAACCTGCACAGATTCCTGCCGACAGAAGAAAGAAAAGATTCTTCTGTGGGATGAAACACACAGTGCATTTTCAGATACCAAAACCAGAGGGGCAATAAAAAGTATCTTTTACGTGCACTAAAAAGTAACTTTTAAGTGCTGTTACACAGAAACTTTGTGCTTTCACAAAGCACAGTGTTTTTTAATTAGTTGAAGCACTGTCTTGAGAACCTCTTCTTTGGAGGGGCTGGCATCAACCTCTTGGCATGCAGGATTCACCATCCTTCTGTACGACTCTTCAACTCTATTTAAATACAAAATGAGAGAAATGAAACTACAAATTGCAGGGATATGAAACAGCACTAGTCATCAGCCTTGGATGAAAGTGTTCATGCTGTAGAGACAAAGGGCAAAAAAATCTAATATGAAGCTAAGAATGAAATCTACTGCAAAGAGCAATAAACCATTAGTAGCTATTACAATGCGAACCTCAAAGCACATAGTTTCCTTGACGCTGATTCCCAGAGCTCTATCCAAAGAATTTCTTTCTTTACAGCTTAGCACTGGATACATTGTGGTACAGCAGTACAGTGAGCAGCCTGCTGCTGACACCTGAGTTAATTTATTCAGAGCCCACTAAGGTATCTCTGAACTATATGGCATGGTGTTGTGTAGGTGTGCTCACTGACTGATCTCAGCTTTGAGTCACTGGATTAGGGAGTCGATACATCATTCAATCCTTTCCTCTGTTCATCTTCACTAACTGGATGAACATCAGGATGAAAACCTCCTCACTTAGACAATAAGCCTTCTCAAAATGCAGAACTTTTCCATATTTAGTCTATGAGGATGTGAATAAGAATGTGAATATAATTTTCTGTTTTCCCACAAGAATCAATAATGCCAAACATTCAGGCCACAAGTTGTAAGATGAATCAAACAAGACTCTGAATGTTCTCACATTCAGATTGACATAATTAACAAGTAGAAATAACCAAAAGCTTTCTGATGGGAATAAGAAGTAACAGAATTCAAACACGAAAGATTCTCAAATGACAGTATGTTCCCTTGTCTCACCCATCCCTCTGCAGGTCCCACTGTATGAACCGTGTATCTACACAGAGCTTCTGTCAGAATTAAGTAATGAATATTTTAAGGTATATCAGCATCAGAAATGTCAAAATCCTAGAGGTAGATTTCATGAGGTATCTACATGGGCATCAAATCGACACATTTGGCAGAGCCTAGACAGCAATTCAGCGCACCCTGAAGTAGGATACCTAAGGTGCAACTCAGTTGCCTAAACAAATGTACCTAGTACTGCTTGAGATGCTCTGAACTATCTAATTTAGCTTCCAGTTGCTTGTCCAGAAAGGGTCCACAGGTTCTGCATCACACCTGCCAGCCTCCTAGATGTCTCAGATGATATTATATAGCTCTAGATACTTCTGCTTAGATCACTGGGCTCCAAGCAGGTGGGGAGTTGAATCACTTCAAAGGCTCCATTGAGTGCATTGACAATACTGGGAACTGAGACACTGAGCACAACTGAAGACATCTATAAGAGACGAACTAAATTTTGTTCTCTTAATCTGGAGCTCAATTTCAAACTTTTCTGGGGAAGCTATGTGCATGAACTTCTTGCTTCGCAGTTCTGGAACTTTTAGGTCTCTCTCCTTCACAACCTCAATAAGAAAGGTGCTACAATACCAGCAGCAAGTAGCAAAATACAAGTATTTTAACTCTAAGATCCTTTGCAGGAGAACGAAGTTCTTCACCTGCAGCTTTCAAACACTTTCAGTTAGAAGTGACAGAATTTAACCTCCTTGTCAGCCACAAATCCTTTTAAAAAAAAACCCAACCCAAAAGCTCAGACATAGGAAATCCTTGTCCCAGTAATGTGAGCAGGACATTTTGCTACTGATTTCACAGGAGCCAAAATTGCCTCCATTCTCTTATTACTCATGAAAGAGTACCTTTGGCGAAACAAGCTGTTAGCTTCCAGCTCAGCTTCCTCCTTTGTTTTCTCCAGCCCCCGATGCTGAAGTCTCCGGACTCGTTCCTCAGGGTCAACAGTCAGGAGAAGAAGAAGATCAGGTTTAAGCAGATCCTCAGGCCACTGGTACACCTCATCATGAGCAGGTGGAAGATCCTGCACTTTCCCATTTATTTCAGTGGCAATTGTGTAGGCAGCTGTGCTGTGCCAGTATCTGTCAGGAAAATACAGAATGGAGAGAGAAATTTTAAAGAGGACACTAAATTTTCAGTAATACAGGAGACAGCTGTCAATGTAACGACAAGTGCAATAATGACAAGGTAGGTGACACTGTGATTTTGAAGTGAAATGTAAAGAAAACTCTGTCACCCATTTTTTCTTAACAGAGTAATAATACTCAATGCAATATTCAGAATTACTGTGGATTATTAATTAAAACGTATGGCAGAAGCTACACATTTGGCAGAGTGTTCTAGATACTCCTACGAAAAGAAAGTCTTCTCATATAATGAGAAGAGTTAAATTATGTGTCAAAATCCAATACTCTCTTTCTTGTCGTTCCCATTCTACTTCATGCAACAGATTTGGTAGAGAACATGTGGTCTTCAATCACATGTGAATGAGGAGAGACGTTATTAATGGTTACGCATTTCACTTGTATTTAGCGTTCCCATCACTGTGAGGCACTGTATTTTATATATTTCAGTGGTTTTGAGGCCAGTTAAAAATGACACTCAAACATATGTAAACTTCTGCATATATGTGTTGTGGGAGGAACTGACAGTACATCTGCTGAAATAAGCCAGGGGTTTCAAAACACATCTAGACTTTTGTTATTAAGAGTAATACTGAAAGCTGCCCACACAGTCAATGAAAGCAAGAAATTACATAAACAAAACCAAAAAAAGTGGGAAGCTTATTTCTGGCTTTACATTCTCCAAGAGTAAAACTCAGTCATCTACCTAAAATTCAGTTATTCTAATCCACCCGTATCTCAGACCTTTCTTAGAGACAGCTATGATCAGCAGCCCTCATTCTCCTCAGCTCTGTCACAGAATCCTGCTTTGGCTCAGGCTGCAGAGTCCAGGCCTCCACTATTCCTAACTGAATATATAACGTGTGCTAAAGCCAGTTATGAGTGTTACACTGACAGAAGTCCCATACCTGACTGTTGTCCTAAGTATTACTCTATAGAAGATTTAATATTTATCCGACTACCTGAAAAGTAGCACTTACAAAAGAAAAAAAAGAAGAAAAAAGAAGAATCCCAGAGACTATCATTGACAACTTCTGCTTGTAACACTGAACAACTGTATGATGGCACTGAAATAAGGGGATTTCTTAAATATACAAACCTGTCTATGATCACAGGTGCCTGAGTGGATGCTTTTGCTATTTCTGAAGCAAGAATGTAGTTGCCCGCAGCATAAAATGCTCTTTTAATGGGTGCTGGCTCGTCATCAAATATTGTCCTCCACTGGCTGATGCAAGCTGGTGGAGACCTTAGCAGAACGGCATTCAGAGTCTCCTTAACAGGCTGAGTTACAGTGGTTTTGCCTGCATTTCATTTACAGAAGGAAACATCTGTTACATTACATATCAGATACAACTGCGTTTTAAAAGCTGAAAAATGCTCCTACCTGTTCACTTGGAGAACATGTTCTGACACCTGACTATGGAACCTGAGTAGCTTGTGATAAGGCTTTCAGTGCAAAATCATCATGAGTCTGGTTCAAGGAATTATTGCTTCACTTCCTACTCTCAGGGCCTTCCACCCCCCCCCGCCAACTTTCTGTCTTCACTCCTTTAAATGCATTAAATGCACGACCATTTCTCTACATCTCTATTTACAATACTTTTCTAGGTCACAATTCATGTGTATGTTGCAATGTTGTCATGCAGTGTTCTTTTTAGAGCGCACTTTCAGTTATCTTTAACTGAAAAGACACAAAACAAAGTTATTCAGAAGCAACTAATACTTCAAACTGCTGTCAGTTTCCCAGACTACCACTATTTTAGTTCATTTATTTGAAAACTCTCCGGTAAAAGTACGTTTCATCATCTGCACAAGAAATTCAATCTCCAGTACACCACTCTTTGCATTATTCCATTTTAAATAGACGAGGAATTCATCCACTGCATGAAAATTAGCATAGCCTGTTTGATCTTTCACAAGTAAGATGAGACAGACTGGTACTTACAATTACAAATTCTTTCAAATCTGTCACAGGCTTCCAGGATTTTTTTCAATTTCTCAGCCTTACGCTTGGCTGAAAGCCACAGCG